AATTGGCTGAAGAATACGGCCGAATTTACCCGGGCTGGCCGAGAAAGGCGCACCTCCAGCCTTCCCCGCAACCGGGAGAAGCCCCCTCCCTTTTGCAAGGTCGCCCCCTCCCCGCTTTTGGGGTGGGGGAGAATTGAGAGAGAGAGAGAGAGAGAGAGACAAACACACACACACACACAAAGAGGAGAGGGGAGCCGGCTGGCCCACCCGTTTCCCCCTTTCCCTGCGCGAGCGTGTGTGGATTTCCCCCCCCTTTTTTTTCTGCCCGCCTCTCGCCCGCCCGCCAGTTCCAGCTTCTCACTATCCAAGAATACCCTTCCAGCTGACGTGGGGCGTGTTATCAACTATTGCTCCTTTGTGCAAAGTGCTACAATCGCGCGGTTACCAGAGGGGTGGGGTTGCAAAGAGGCCGATTAGCCCAGGCGGAAAAATGTGTGTGCTGAAAAATGCCCCCTAGGCTTATACGCGAGTCACCATTTTTTCCCAATTCTTTGTGGCAAAATAGGTCCCTCGGCTTATAGTCGGGTCGACTTATACTCGAGTATATACGGGTAGTCCAGAAATAACTTGTATACCTGTTGAAATCTAAGCATTCCTTGAGAGAAAAACTTGCTTATACTTTTCTAGTGCCTTCTCAGGCATCTGAGAACCATTCCCGTATGCTGGAACCAGTAAAACATCTGCATAACGACACCAGAGCATCAGGCATAAGTTGAATGCGGAAGCAAATCAGAAATTAGACTGGACTCAATATTTGTGTATAATTTCTGGACTGCGCCTCAGGTTATATACCATAAGATGAGTACAATGGTACCTCAGTATTCATCGTTAATTGGTTCTAGGAGGTGTGATGAGTACCAAAAACGCTGAGTATCAAACAAATTTTAGTCATAAGGAATAATGTAGTGAGTCACAAGGCAGCCGACACTGACAAGTTCTAACGTGTGCGTTGAGTATCAAATGATGAGTACTGGGAAAAAAAAGTTCACATCAAAACGTATTGAGTAGCAAATTTGAAAGCAGTTGAGTAACAAGGTACCACTGTATTTGCAAGTTTGATTTTTGTTGCAACAGTCCTAGCACACTATTCCAATCTTGCAGATAAATATAATAACAGCATCAGTATGCTTTGTTTTGCAATTGTTAGTGATGTTGTATTGCTGCACTTGGGCCGAACGTGTTCTTCCTTACAATTACAGCTTTGGTGTGCCTGAATAAAATTGTGCTGACAGTATCTTTCCTTTATTATACATCTAATACCGCTATTATAAGTCATTTGGTGCAATGGGATTCATAGATATGTCATAGATCTGCTGTCCTTGCTGCTAGTTAATATTTAAATTAAAAACAGTTAATATCTTATCCTTGGTAAAAATCTATTGATTTAAGGTACAATCCTAG